ACATGCATATAATAGACATTGTTTTGCGTATCCTAAAAAAATGAAAAACTAAGTGGGGTAATATTTATGGTATAAACAGATACATAACTAATTTTAACAGAATAACAGATTTCAATAAAAATAAATATATTATTTTAGTTTTATATTGATAAAAAATAGTATTACAAAATAATATGTGTATAGACCTCATAAGTATTTGATCATTGTATAATAAACGTAATGTTTTAACACGTGTTTATTTTTTGCGCCAAAATATTATATTTTACTATTTCATTATTTTATTTTTATTTATTTTATTTGTTTTTTTGTTCTTTTTTAAATGATACTATTTTATGATCTATAACAAAAATGCAGATCTGTGGAATTTTCCCAATAATAACTTTTGAATAAAATGAAAATTGTAATAAAATAATTACCCAAATTTATTATCTTCAAACAAATATGAGCCCCTTTAATTCAGAATTCTACGAAAATCCTATGAATATTACAAAATATGCACATAAAAAAAATATGTTGGAGCAAATATTCTTACCTAATTCATGTCATTAAAATATTAAAAGATCAAAACGCTCATTCTGAAGAACAAATTTTTTTTTGCAATGGCATCATCACCTATCATTATGTCATTTTTTTATATATTAAAATAAAGCAGCATCTAGCTACTAAAAAATATAAATATAAAATGATTTACATTTTGTATAACAAAAATTTAAATGCTATTTTTGACACAAAGCTACAGTAAGTAGTTCGTTAAATATTATAGATCCTACAATTTAATAACTTAGTTTCCTTTTGGATATTTATTTTAATAAGCACGCTTGAATAAAATTGCAAAAATGTTTAACAATGATATTATTCATGAAATATAAAACAATGAAAAACAGTCAAATATCAATATATATGTGGTATGTAAAAACCTAAAGGATATAAAAATAAAATTTTAAAAAAACAAAAAAACTTTATCAAAAGGGCTATATTTTCATGCTTCACTTGTCACAGAAATAATGAAGCAAGAAAATGCACGTACATCCGTAAAAATATTTTATTACTGTTTAATAGACATATTATTTTTTTGTTCTTTTAACACGCATTTAGTGTTCATTTATTAAATATATCCATAAATTCTATGAAACAACACATGTAATTTTTTTAGATTTATTATTTTCTACATTATATTTTTTTAAAGTTTGCTGTATCTATTAATTTAAATTATTTATTAGAATGAAATTTATACAATTAAATTGATACCTTTTTGTTGGTGATGCACGTTTGAAATTGAGAAGAACTAATAAACTAAAAGTTTTATTAAATGTGTGAAGAAACAAATAAAGGAAAGTATATATGGAACGCCTAAACTCAGGAAAAAGTATTAGAATATAATAATATTTCATTTCATAATAAATGTTGTAATAATGGTATGTAAATGAATGAAAAAAACAAGAAAAAAATAAACATATTTTTAATTTTTTTTTTCTACTGACATTTTATTACACTATATTTTTTTTGGATGCGCTTAAATATATTATATATATATATTTATAAATGTAATGAACCTTTTACAAAATACCCTAAGTAGCAGTTTTTAAATTATTTAACTTATGGTATTTATTATTTAGAATAATTATGTATTGTAGAAGTATGTCCATTTTTTATAATTTATAATTTAATATGTGTTAATATTTAGAGTTCGAATTGTTACACATGTCTGTAATTTTCACTTGTTCATATTGTTAATGAAGCCATTAAATGTATTACACATGCTTATAAATGTTTTATATTTAAGTTATTATTTTCTTATTATTGCAAGAATTAAATAATACGTTTTAAATATATTTATATATTCCTCTACAAATTAATCATTTGTATGTTTCTATTTATTTTACTTTTTAATTATTAGTATTTTGATTTAAGCACCTTACCATCACAGAGATTATATCGGAACATAAATGATGGGTATTATGTAATTAATGAGGATAATTTTTGGGATGAAATAGAATATAGGATCAGAAAACAATCTGATATTCCAATTTCTAAAAAATTAATATCTGGCTTCACTTATGGTGCATATGGTATAAAAAATGTTGAAGAAAAAGATGAAATTTGGAATTTTTTGTATTTCTGGACAGGGGAAATAATATGTATAACGCAATCCAATTTTATAGATGTCATGAAAATACTAACTGAAGTAATATATAAATTTGATGTTCAAAATGTGTTTATACGTGATTTATTAAGTATTACAAATAAAGATGATTTTTCAAAATTGAAGATGATTTTTGATTATATTTATGACTATGAAATTGCTAAAAGTACAATTACTCAAAATCATGTAGTATGCAGCACTCAATTGAATGATCGTCTAAATAACTATTTCATGAATTATATTGAAGTAAAAAATAAATGTGACTCAGATTATGATACATTGTGCCAAATATTTAAAAAATTCATGGAAATAAAACAGAATAATGGAAACTTAGAAAAATTAACTTGTCGTGCTGTGAGTGATAAAGAAATTAAAGTTAAAGAAGATGAAGGTTTCCCTAAAACTGCACAGGGAGATCTAACTTTAAATCATGTGATCATATTAAAAAATACAGAAGAAGGTTCCGATTTACAGCCATCTATTGAAGTAGGATATCATATCGAATCAGAAGACCACATTGTACCAGAAACTCCTGCTGGATCAGAACCAGTTTCTGGATTAAACCAGCCTGCTTCTGATTCAGCAGATGATAGATTAGAACAAGATTCTGGGGTAGAACCAGATGCTGAATTTAAACTAAATGGTAAATTTAAACGAGGTGATGTATTCGAACAAGCTGATGGATTTGAATCACATGATAATTTAGAAACATCAACTGTATCACCAGAAGATACTATATTACAAAAACCAGCTGAACATCCGGGGTCTGCTGTAACACCAAAACTTACTCAATCACAAGAATCTAATGGGTTATCAGAATCTGGCGCATCGCCAAAACTTACTGAATTATCAGACGTTGATGAATTACCTGACATTGTTGAGATGCCGGAGATAAATGTATCACATCAACCTAATGTAGTACCTGGAAGTACCTTATTGCAGGTTCCTGCAACACCAGATCCTGTGGGATCACCAGTAAATCCTGCAGTAAATCAAAATGGACAAAATAACCCTATTAAAACAAGCAACTCTCCGAATGTAAAACCTCTCCCCGGAATGAATTCATTTTTTTCATCAACATATACTAAAGCTGGAGTCATTCTACTGTTCTTAGGTATTTTGATACCTATGCTTATTGTGTATACTGTAAGTATTTTTAATATATAAAAATATTGTATATTAACATTAATTCATTTACTATTAGCTTTTAAATAAATTTATTACACATTATATATATTTTATTAAAATTTTTAGCTTTCAGTACTTATCTCAAAAGTACAGAGTCGCTATTTCAGGAAAAAGAAAAACCCATATCATATGTATTTTGATAAAACACATGTATATCCATTCTATTATGATAGAATGTTAGAGGGAAAATCGTATCACAAACAGAATTATGTGGGTTATTATCCTCTTATGATTGAGTAATGTATAAAGAATTCACAAGAGTAAGGGATTCATTACATCTGTCATTACAAAGGGAAGGGAAAAAAAACTAAAATTTTCATATACATTATGACATGCATTATGGTAAATTTAATAATTAAAGGAATTTAAATCACGTATGAACTCATATGTACAACGTTAAATGAAAAAAAGTAATTTTCAAATACAGATTATCTTAAAAATGTGAAAATAATAAATTTAAAAGAGGTTTCATATAATAGAATGATTGTTTTACGGACGCAACATATGAATTAATTTTTTGGGTCCTCTATATTGTTTATATAACTAAGATAAGAAAAAACATGTAATTGTGTTAAATAGTGAAGATAGTCTTTTTAAATTATTAAACGCCTTTTCCATTATCACGTAATGTCCAAATTTCATAAAATGTTGTAAAAAAAATGATTAATTGCATATTTTAAGGGCTCATAATTTAACTTAGAAAAATATATTGCATAAAATGTGAAAAGAGTTTATAATATACACAAGAGTTATATTTGTTGTAAAGATACTGAATTTTGATCATATTTATCAGTATATCATATTACTTAATAAAATGGCATGTATTAATATATATATTTTATACAGAAGAATCATAAATATTTAAATGAACATGGCCAAAGAGAAAAATTATACAAAAGTTTTAAATGCCGATTTTTATTAGCTTTTAAAGAAATTTAATGCAATTCATGAATAAATGTATGCATGCATTTCACATTAACTATGTATATATGGAAGATTAAAATTGGGGAGAATCTCAATATATTATATTACTAATTATTAAATACCATAAAATTGATGCACATATAATTAATATGTGCTTATTCTCACAGGAATATGAAAATAAAACGTATTAATGGAAATACTAATTATTACAGTATATTAATTTAAAAAGAAAGATTCTGTTTATTATTAAATGTAAAAAAAATTATACTACCCGAAAAATAAGATTTATTTATTATAAAAATACATTCCGATTAGTGGATAAAGAGAACAATACTCATTTTAATGATGTTATATATATTGTGGGAACAGACGCGGAATAATTAATGCAAAGATTATTAAAAGATGAGTTATATGAAGCGCATAACAATTTAATATATTTCCATTTTGTATATTCTTTATATAACATTTGTTCAAAAACAGTTATATACAGATATATCTGTTATAACAAAGACAGGTGAAAAGTAACATCAAGACATCCTTAGAAGAATTAAATAGAAAATAATATTAATTAATCTGTGACGACTGAATATTGAATGTATATGGGTTTTGGCTCTTTTGTAGCTACAGTGCTGCAATAAAATAAAAAAAGAGGTACGGATGATTAGGTGTTTCATTTAAAGGTTACATAACATTTTCACATTCTATTCTCCTGTAAGAATAAGTATGCTATTCATGATCCATAAATATTATGTAAACAAAATAGTCACTAATTGAGGTAAAATAATAAGTTCAATAAATACACCTACATTATTATAAGAAGATAGTAATTAAAACATTTATATTATTTTTATGAAAATTTTTTAAAAATCAATATATAGTTAAAAATATTTCTGTTAGTGAGAGTATTATGGAGAGAATAAAATATTTTTGAATTATATCTTCCGACGTCTTGGAGATTACACAATTCATAAATAGCGACGATGACAGTATAAAACGAATTAATTCAAGTACCACAGTTGCGTTTAATAAAACATATACTATTGGATATTAAAATAATTACTAAATTATAATATTTTTCTATAATTATGTTAATATATTTCAACAGGAATTACTTCAGACATACATAAAGCTGTAAAACATGCTCTAGCATTATATGTCACTGTGTTAAATTACACATAGGGGAATTTTTATGTGTATCCATAATACATATGTACAAAAATTAGGACCCTTGAAGTAGATGTATTTTTAATTATTTTTTTGTGAAGCACAAATAAATTAATTTATTACATATATACAATATATAAGTGTAATAAATTAATTTTTAACGTTATGTTCTCAAGGGCATTACACGATTGTGTTCCAATATTTTTGTAGACATATGTACATAAAATATTGGAAAGGTTATAAATTTTAAGTTTTAATTATTCAGGCATAAATACATGATTATTTCAGTGATGTGCTTTAATTAAGAGTATACAATTGTTTACATATATATATATTTTTTTTTTTAGTAAGGTTAGATTTTTTTTGTTATTTACATATATTATATATATATGTACTAAACATTTTTACATGTTGAACATAAAGACATAGTTTTTTTGGTGTAGTACATGTACAAATTATTAATGCTATAAGGACTATGTTTTTATATAAATTACTTTTTTTTAATTTTGTAGTCATATTATAGCAGTTCATATTATCATAAATATTTGTCAAACTAGTATATACTAACTAACAAATTTGTTTAAATGTGTTTGTCAATATAAGGATTAAGAAGTAACTAAAATTTAGGCTGTCATCAGATTAGAACAAATACTTACTATTTATTTGAACTGGGTTAGTTCAATTAAGGTAATATTACTGAATATAAAAAAAAATGTAAAATAAAATAAAAAGACTAATCATTCAATCCATTAATTTGTTCCTTTTGTACGCAGGAACTAAATATCACATAAAAAGCATTATATTATAATTATATATACTAATATAACAAAAAGACACTTGCATTGGAAAACCAATATAAAAATATTATTTCTTCACAATTCTATGTACCCTGTGTATTCCTTGTTATATATAACGAATAAGTATTCATAGAAAAATATAATAAAAAAAAAATTTTTGTTATAATTCTTTCATTATGTAATTCACAATAATAGAAAAAACCATAACATATATATCTAGTTAAAATAATAATTTATTATTATTATTTATGAATGGAAAAAAGGTGTTTACGTTTTTTTTAAATATAATTCTAAAATGATAATATAAAAAATTTTCCATACAATGTATTTAATATATATAGGATATAATAATATATTCAAGAAA